TCAGGTGATAGAAGACAGGTACCAGCTTGTGTACTCCTTGCCTCATCCCAAGCCTTACCCAGCAAAATGAGGAGAAGGTCTGATGCCACAAGGTGTGAGGCAGGGCCATGCTTGTCACAGCTGTGGAAAGTCCATAGGAACCTGCAAGGTGGAGGGGGTAGCACAGCCCCTTAGGAGTGCTCCCACAAAGGGATATGCAGCATGCCCATGCTCTGTTGTGCACTGCACTCATTTAGTGAACTTAGAAGACTCATCAGCTCAAAGATCACTTAAAAATTATAGAGTTTATTTACTTCTGCAAACATGCTTCCATTAGATTTCAGTCTTGAAATTTCTTACCCAGAAACCTATGAATTTTTAGACATACGGTTATATTTCTATAGTGTACCAATCTAGAGAGATGTAGTTCATGGATTTCCTCAAGGAGAAATGTATCTTTGAAGGAAATGCAGAGCAAATGCAGAGGAAATACAAGCTTGATGAACAAAGAGTTCAGTGATTGCCCTATAGATCTAATGATTATCAATAATTCAGGACGATCTTTTTTAAATCATTAGTGAATGTGAGATATAGGATTTCTTTGGGAGCAATCAGTGGATACCACAGTGGAGTAATCTATAGGACTGCATCCATCAAACTGATTAACATTTACAAGCATTATTAAGGCACAACTTTTCAGAGACCTTACCCCACATACATTTCCTGACACTGAACCAGAAACTGTGGGTCCTGGAAACAAAAGCAGTCTCTGCGCCCAAGAGAATGCTCTATTTGTGTTTCCATGCTAGGATGAGGATGGGAAGCATATTGTCCCCTACTGTAAGCCCCATGTCCCATATAGGGAGGAAATTGAGGCTCGCAGTCCAGATGAGAGTCACTGGCCAGGCCCCAAGTCCAGTTGATGGGGAGCAGATGGTGGGGAGCTGTGGAGTAAACCTTCCCATCAGCCCAGTTATACATATGGCTTACCCAATTTTATCTGTAGTGCACATAGACACAAGTAGACGTCTCCATCAAATGATGCATTCTAATGTGTACTTTCCAAGTCACTGGAAAAGAGGTTACACCATTGAATGGTGACTGCTCTGTGTTAAAAAAAAAAAATTGTAGTGACAAATATTCTTAGAAGTAATCTACTTGGGTCAAAACATGTCTGACTAAGGCAATAACACGTGAGTCTGGGGGTCTACTTGGAGAATATACACATTATCCAGATAGCTAAAATAATCTGGGGACACCAGACAGATTCTGAAAACCAAATACAAGAGATTCTCTCATCTGGTATTTACTTACTTGAATGAGGAAGTTTTGAAAGCTTTATATATTTATTCCACAGTTTGGCAGCAGTGGGCACAAAAACTGGAATGAACTAACCTGTCCGACTTTTATCAAAGACAACCTCTGTGCCTTCCCTGCTGTCTCCTTGCCTCTGGCCCCCACTCCCTAGAGAAATACAGGACCGCTTCTCTTCATCTTTCCTTCCATTTTTTTCCCCTTTCTTCAGTTTGTTTCCTTTACCACTCTGCACCTGTTTTTAAAATGCAAGTTACTAGCAAAGTTTTTCCTTGCTCCTGGGAGAGCCAGATGGGACTCTGGGAACCAGAGCCATGGCATCTTCCTTGTGTAGGGCGACAGAAATAGCTCCCATTAAATTCTCTGTTTAACTAAACACAGATGGTCTCTTCATGATGAGACATGATGACTTAAGAAGATGGGTAATACCACACACATACATAAAGCAAGTAAATCTGAGAATGACAATTCTCCTGTAGGCTGTAATTACACGGAAAACAGCCTTTCTGTGAAAGCAAGCTGTGCAGGCAGCAGTCTCGAGGATGCAGTGTAACTGTGAATCATGCTCTTTGCAAATTTCCATTAAGTAAATATGGGAAAAGTCACAGAACTTGTTGCAGATTTTCATCTGATGCTTTGGTTTCCTGAAGGTGGGCCTTCTTTCTCTCTGAAGTCCACCATTGCATGTAGCTGTGAAACTGAAGCAGGGCACATAATCTAGCATTGTAATTGTCAATAATAGCATGTAGGATTCTCATGTGTCTCTGGTGGGCTGTGTGCTAAAGAAGAGTATGCACCATTTCAGCAGGGGTTCTACTAGACAGATTGTCACACTTCTGCAACTATGTGTTACAAATTCATATATACGCAGCAATGAAGAGACATTGTTAGCTCCTTGGTTAAAGAGAGGAGCAGTATATTTGGAAGTAGCTGCACATTATTTCTGTCTAATTCTGTAGCATCCAGTAGTTACTAGGACAGTCAGAACGTGCTCAGTGGCCAGATTGATTGCTTTTGTTATAAAAAGATCAGTTTTCATGAAATTTTTATCAAACCTAGTGAAGTGTCCTTCTGTGTTTGTATAACTTTAACATATAATAATGTTTGGAGTTTTAGCTCCTGTCAGCAAAAGTTTAAGTTGCCAGGAAGGCTGTTCAGATCTTATCAGATGTTACCAACAAGCCAAAAACTGCAGCATCAGTTCATAGTTAATTAACTACTAGCCTTAAGAAGGATATTGTGCAACAGGGATCACAGTAGGCTGAAAAGACTTTTTAATCGGTTTACTGTCTGTTTGTTTATTATCTGCAAAAAACACATGGGGGAAAAGTAGCAGCATCATTATATGTACAGAAGTAGTTTATAAACACCAGAGGCACCTTGAAGAATTTGAGCTCCCAGGTCTGTTTTGTTACACTGACTCAACTGTTATACTCCACAATTAGAAACCAGCAGAAAATCTCTCTGTGCATGTAGATTTTTACCTCAGAGACTGGAAACATAAAGTTTTGGTTTGAAAATTGTTGACACAGAATGATGCTGCACATGCTATATATAGAGTGTTGTTAGGAATTCAATTGTCTGCATAGTTTTAAAATATTGCAAGAGCACATGATCATGGTGGTAAAATGCAGAACATGGATTTTCCTTTCAGTCTTAATCTACATTCAATAAGTCTATTTTGCAATGTTGCTTGTGATCATTCAGTAAAGAAAATATCTAAAATTATGTTTAGAGCAGGCAAAAAGGGATGACATTTTGGCTTTTTCTCAGATCGGGTACTCACAGATTCATAGATTGTAGAATATGTATATCCTTAGTTCATCTATCTATGTCTCATTATGTGAATTAAAAAGGCTTCAGATACCCACAAACATGCTGGAAAGGTTATGTAAGTTTATAAAGTGTGTTGGGATCCTCAGATGAAAGGCATTATAAAACCACAACATACTCTTTCATAGTACAAGTTCTTGATGCGGTTTCTTTTCCACCTACCAGATTCTAATGCTATGGTATGCAATAATTCAATTTTAAATGAATAAAATTACTTCTACTTTATTGTATTATAAAATGTATTTATTGCATTGCTACAAAAATCTCAAACATGATACAGCTCTCTCAATTGTAAGCTAGCAAGCACAGCTAGCTGAGAAAGCTGTTGTTCTGTTGTCTCCAGAAAAGCCTCTTTTATCAAATCTGATGATATTTTCAGTACAAATTATATCTGACACAGGGCACACACATCCTGAGGTAAAGGTCATTCTGTGGTGTAGTACATGAGACTTTAATATACACCTCTTGAACTTGTGGATAAATGTTTCTTTCACAACGAGATAATCCTATTAAGCCATCCTGAGCATGGAAAGAGAGTCTAAGTATCCTAATAAGATATCAGCAAAATGATTGCACAATGTTATATCCTTGCTGTTTGTATAAATAGGATATGATTCTCAGATCCAAAACCTCAGCATTAATTCAGTCAGAACATAGAATTGTGGTCTTTGAGTAGCGATTAGAATATTAACAAACTTGGCTGCATTTATTACACATGGAAAACAGATGGAAATGAAGGCGCCTATACAGTTGCTTATACTCCTACTTACAGCTTTTCTGTAATACATTATAATTTGTCAGTGTTTGAACTTTTGACCTTTGGTCATCTTGAAAAGATAGCAATAGGCTTTGGAATAAGCAGATGCAAAGGGGCAGAAGGAAACAGGTATGGAGGGGAAAATTCCGGAGCAGATGGCTACACAACCTTGGAGCGTTCCAGCTGTGAGAACTCTTGACTCAGCAAGCGATGCAGAAATTGCAGGGGTAACAACTTCGTCAAGTAAAAAAACCCAAGGAAGCAACAGATAAAATTTCCTGGAAACAAGACATATTTGCCCAGACACCAATGACCTACATTGTGCTTTTGTTGTCTACATAATAACCAAATGCTACCTTTTCATGTGCTTTAGTACTGTCTCAGAATTTTTCATCTTGGATGTTGTTTTAAGTCTAAATGGCCAACAGGCTGATAAAGTCAGGCTGCAGCAAGGACTGACTCTATGGGAGCCAGTGGTGGCATCTTCAGGTGCTGAAATCTGAATTCAAAGCGCATTTTAGATATTGGGTTTTGTATTTGTATTGAATTAGCCAGTTCAGTTATGAGGAACAACTGAAAACAGTTACGTTCCATACAGACTTCATGGTAAGTGTAAGCAGCTCAGAGCACCACATCACTGCCCTAAGTAGTGCAGATGAGCTGTTGCTGTGCAACCTTTAATGTGGAGTTTGGCTAATGCTGCCATGAGACATTTTCTGGTTTTGCTGAGACTGATGTGTGTGCCAGGTCTCAACAACAATCCTGTCTGCCATAAGGCAAGGCAAATGAGATAGACAGATTTATTCTAAGGCCAAGGGAAATTGTGAAGCAATGTGTCAATTTTGTTTCCTATCAGGCCCTATAAATGTGTTGCAGGGGATAGGCTGCTGTTGTTCAGGGAGGTTGGAGGTGGCATATATGGTCCTTATGAGAGGTCAACTGAGGAGGATGGCTACACACATGTATATAGGGCAATTCATATATCTGGAGTTTTCTGATCTAATTGGCAACATCTTATATGAAATCTCTTATGTGAGGTCTGTCCTAGTCCTTGAAAAGCAGAAGGAAGCAACAGTATATTGATAGCATATCTCCTCAAATTATTCTACATCAGACCACACCAGAATCCTGGAACTTATTTGAATAAAACCCTTAACTGGGGGGAACCATGCATGCTGAATACAGCGTCCTTATGCAGTGGGCAGTCAGTGCAGCTGTGCTATTGCCCAAAAGCCAGGTAAGGGTATGGTCTACTCTGACTAGGAGGAAACAAGAGAGGAGAGTGTTCATAGTTGACCAGACATGTGGCCTCATTTCACTGCATGTAACATGGCCCAGGCCAGCCACTCCAGCTCACTGACAAAATCAGAAAATGATTCATGAGCATATTTTCAGGACTCCTGTGATTAATTCTTTTTACCAGCTAAATTGCAATATGTCCTTTATAACAATGGGACTGTGAAAGAAAAGGAATTTTACTACTTGCGTTTCAATACATTTTTCATTCTTGCTATCAGGAAATCACAGACAGGAGCAATGAATGTGGGAAAAGTCTACATGTTTTTTCACAACACTGGAAGATAAGTTCCCAGAAGACAATCTTTAATGCGTATCTGCAATATAATATAAGGTATGGGATGCCATTTCCACTATTTGGGAGTGACAACCCTGACTAGCCCAACTTATCTTTGCCTTCACATTGTACTGAAAAAACTAGCACATGCTTAACAAAGATGAAAATATTTGAAGGTACTCAGTTGCTGAATCCAACATACACTGTGGTTCCCACAGCCACCCTCACTTCAGGCTAAACCACAAAGATCAATGTTTGTATTCTTTGTCAAAATTACTAAATACATCATTCCGACCTTTGACTGAACACAATGTCTTGTTACTCATGCGTGTTATCTTCAGGAAACAGTTGACATCTTTAAATTCCTTCTGCAAGGTGCCAAATTAGCTGGTCTGAGAACTCAAATCCGCAACTCACCCACAGAAAAGACACAGTCTTCGTCTTGGCAGTCAATACTTCCCATATTGCCTTCAGATGTATGCCATTCCTGGAAGGAGCAATTCCATAAATAACTCTAGCACATGTTTAAACCCCTAGCACATGTTTAAACTCATCCCTTTTTAGGAAAGCACATGCTTAAAATTAAGCATGTGGCCTAAGTACTTTGATGAATACTGACACTTTCCTAAACTGGGGACAGTAGAAAGGGGAGTCTGAGATATCCATGCCCAAATGCCAGTTGAGATGCTTCCAGTGATGTGGGTACCGCTTGGCACCGTACCAAAGCTAACAAGCTGTCTCCTGTAAATCACTAAGCAACTGTCAATTAGTGATGTGTGCTGGTTGTTTGAAATATGCCTTACATTTACTTTTCTAACTGAAATTTTGCTTTTGGACTAGGTTCTTTTTTCTTGTTTTTAGTTTATAGTGCTGGGTTGGTCAAAAGCGGGTGTAATGAAAGAAGTCCTAGCTCTTTGCAAGAGCCTCAATAAGGTTATAGAAGTTGCAGGGGAAGTTTTAGTTTGCTTTTTGTTTAATGTTGTTTTCCTAAATCTTTCTGAGACTCAGGAAAACGAACCTCAATCCTTTAATGAGCATGGGCTTCCTGAGGTTTCCCCCTTACCTACATCTGAAATACCTTTGCCTACATCTAGTGAAAAGGGGAACTGTTTTGCTTTTTGCGGTTTCACCATCATTTCAGGATTTTATTCATTGACTGATGTTTATAGTGTCCCACCAAAGGTCGAAAGGAATCTTTTCTGTCTGTCTTTTCTGTTTTTGTTTTTAGAAAACACAAGATAGGAAATTATTTTAGCAGGAAAATTACTTCTTAAATTAATCAAACTATTATGACTGACCCTGCTTGTTTGCTCATTAAAAAAAGAAGCAGAATGATCGGTTTCTGCCAAATAAAACACTCTCAGTTATTTCAATTACTGTTTTAATTGGCCAGGCCTGCTTCTCAGATCATCCTCTAATCTGTACAAGAATGTTGTTTGGAAAAGATGAGGCATGCCTAACTCGAAGGCCACATTCGTCACTCTAGTACATTTTGGTCCAAATATTGTTCCATTAGCACAGTGGAGCTACATGACACTGAAGATGGTAGGTCCCAGGACTGCTTCCTTCTAGAGATCCCACTCAGGACACACTGCCCATATCTTAGTTGAAATGTATCAAAACACTGACATGAGAGAAAAAAGTGAAAGCTCTGAAGATCCCCAAACGGGCACATTTACATGTCATCAGAGCTGCCATTAGTCTGAGTTTAATAACTGCTACAAGAAAAATTGTGGAAAATCAGTCTTGGGACCTGTGAACCCTCACAGAAAGACCTCTCCATAATTTTGACTCAGGCTCTACCATTTCAGTGAATCTGTGTCTTCTATGGATGTCAATATTCTATAAGATCAAGTTGTAACTTTTCAGTGCTGTCCTAAGAGCTAACATTCATATCTACATTAGAATCTTCTGCTTTTCAATCCAGGAGGCCTGAGTTCCTTACCATATGTCCAGTGTAACCATTTAAGCCTGAGAAAACAACTGATGTTAAGAAAAAAAATGCCCAAACTATATCACTGCATTTTAGGCAAACAGAATTTTTTCAAAGTGAGGCACAAAAATATATGAGATTAACTGCAGCGGACTTCACTTCTGGCACAGAATTCCTGCATCGCCCTGGACAGTCCTCTGTAGTTAGCTCTGTGCCTCCATTTCCCACTTTGGCAGAGTGGGAGCAGTGTCCAGGTTTTATGCACCTTATCCCCATCCTCCCGAAAACAGAGACCCTTACTGTGTGTATAATGCCCAGCACAGTGTAAAGCTGGTTTCAGTGGAAATGCTAAGATTCCACTGAAATACCAAGTTTATATTTTTAGATTGATTTGTACTTAAGATCCATGTATATGGACAAATGCTGTTCTTGAATAAAGTGAGAGAAATGAATGGAAAATTATTATATTACTGCATTGACTCAAGGCCTAGTGATGTATATAACCATCATTGCCACCCTGATATGTCAAGCTCAGTGTGATATTTTTGTTTCTTTTTTTTAATTTGATGCTTTCTTAGATAACTATATCTGTTTTCTCTTTGTATATCAGAGCTGTTCTTCTCACAGTTAACTACTCACATGAGCTGCTGATCACTCCTTAGGCAAAGCTGAAGAGGAAAAGGCAGGAAGGAGATCATGTACAAGTCCTTGAAGGGGTCAAGGGTAGACCTGCTTTTTAAAAGTTTTTTGTTACAACCATGGAAAGGGACATATCATAGAGAAACTACTCTGAGGTTTAGCTCTGTACAGAACTAACACATAGGCATCTGTTTAGGCACCTGCTTGACAGAATCCCTTGGGAGATGCTCCTGAAGGGTAGAGGGGTCCAGGAAGGCTGGTCACTCTTTAAGAAGGAAGTCTTAATGGCACAGGAAGAGGGTGTCCCCGGGTGCTGTAATTGAAGCTGGCATCAGAGAAGGCCACCCTGGCTGAACAGGGAGCTTTGGCTGCAACTCAGGGAGAAAAAGTGTTAAAAAGTTAAACCCAGTTGGCAGCGGTCACGAGTGGTATCCCCAGGGCTTGGTTTTGGGGCCACTCTTATTTCTTTATCGATGATCTAGACAAGGGGATCGAGTGCACCCTCAGTCAGTTTGCAGATGACACCCAGTTGGGTGGGAGTGTTGATCTGCTCGAGGGCAGGGAGGCTCTGCAGAGAGACCTGGACAGGCTGGAGCCATGGGCTGAGGCCAACTGCAGGAGTTTCACTGAGGGCAAATGCCGGGGGCTGCCCTTGGGCCACAACAACCCCCAGCAGCGCTACAGGCTTGGGGAGGAGTGGCTGGAGAGCTGCCAGTCAGAGAGGGACCTGGGGGTGTTGACTGACAGACAGCTGAACAGGAGCCAGCAGTGTGCCCAGGGGGCCAAGAAGGCCAATGGCATCCTGGCTTGTGTCAGCAATAGCGTGGCCAGCAGGGACAGGGAAGGGATCTGACCCCTGTACTCGGCACTGGTGAGGCCGCCCCTCGATTCCCGTGTTCAGTTTTGGGCCCCTCACTACAAAAAGGACATTGAATGACTCGAGCGTGTCCAGAGAAGGGAAACGGAGCTGGTGCAGGGTCTGGAGCACAGGTCGTACGGGGAGCGGCTGAGGGAACTGGGGGTGTTTAGTCTGGAGAAGAGGATGCTGAGGGGAGACCTCATCGCTCTCTACAGCTACCTGAAAGGAGGTTGCAGAGAGCTGGGGATGAGCCTCTTTAACCAAGTAACAAGTGACAGGACAAGAGGGAATGGCCTCAAGTTGCACCAGGGAAAGTTTAGACTAGATGTCAGGAAGTATTTCTTTCCAGAAGGGGTTGTTAGGTGTTGGAATGGGCTGCCAAGGGAGGTGGTGGTGTCCCCATCCCTGGAGGTGTTTGACAAAGCGCTGAGGGATCTGGTGTGTTTGGGAACTGTCAGTGTTAGGTTAATGGCTGGACTGGATGATCTTAGAGGTCTTTTCCAACTGAAATGATTCTGTGATATTTTGGAAGAGCTGTAATTGTTTCCTACACTCATTGCATCCTTTTCCATTTTGCGTACGAACAGGTACACACCATGTTTATAAATATTTCATCACATGCAAGTTCAGAATCAATCTATGGTCACAATGATGACATGTTTTATCACAGGAATGCAACATATTTAACCTTTTCAATAGGAGTAGTTAGCAGATGGGAAGGTAAGAACCACTGCAAAGGATAAATTGGCCCTTCATGGAAACACATAAGATGCTTTTAATCAACAGCATGTGGGTTTGTCTCTGCTCCTCTTCCTGGCTATACATACCCACATAAACTCTTCTTGGAGTGTAGTGTTGCTCTTTGTCATGTCAGTTACGAGATTAACATAACCAACCTACATAGCACATTGATGTTCATGTTCAATTATATCCCAGTCTAATCAGAGGGTCTTTAAAAACTGGTTATTTGGAAGCAAAGGGAAAGATAACCACATACTTGTCCTGGTTCTTTCATCCTTCCCCTAAACTAGTGCCTTCTACTGGAGAGGATACCGGTATTGGCACATCTTTGTTCTGAGACAACACGTGTATCTCTTTTAGAGTCTGACTGAACCAGGAGTGTGATTTTGAAGTGCGTATGACAGTCCTACTTGCTTCCTGTGTTTTGGTTTGCATGATGGAGCTGGTTTAGGATTAATAAACTTGATAACTCCCATAGCTGGGCAATGGAATTACAGCTGACACCCTCCAGCTCAAGTCAGACCTTTTTTTTCTGGTGCCAGACAAGAGTTGATCTGAAGTCTGAAAACCCCTGAAATGTATATCATTTTGGATGTCAGGTCCTCAGCACCAATTAGCTTTACAAATTCTCTGTTGGTCTGCAAGATGAGTTAATGCAAATACATACATGGATTGCAACCCTGTACAATCAAGTCATCTGCATGGGATAGCATGAAGCAGAGCAATGGCAAAATGCAGCTTATAGAGTATCAAGTGGAATGACCTGAGGGCTGAGGGTCTAGCATGATTTTTTCTTCTTTTGCCTTTTGAAACAGTGAACTTCAAGAATCAGCAAGTAGCTTATAATGTACTGGCAACAGATAAAGCAAATACAGTTGCTATTTTTGCAATAAGCAATTAGTGTCAGCTCACAGATCAGGGAAATGGTGCTAAAGCAGAACTGGTAACATGCCAATGAATTGGCCATCAAAAGGCCAAAGCTTCACGTTCAACTTTGACCATGATAATTTACATATTCAGTTGCTAAATTACAGCATGAATATGTACTTAGAAGCCAGTAAGCTATGGAAAGGCAGCTTTACTTTTCTATAGTTTATACAACCTGGACAAACTACATCTGAAATCTCTGTGAGGAGACCTGCTTTTAGAACAAGTTTTCACCTGGCTGGTTAAACTTTTATGACAGAGCCTGTGTTTTAAGACTTTAATGTTTTTTCTTGAGTATTTAAGTAATGTAGAAAAACAGGAGAACCTTTCAGAGGGAAACAAACCTTATGACCTACAGCCTTGTTTATCAAGAGTCTTACAGTTAAACTGCAGAGCACTTTTTCATATCTGTACAACAGGCACAAGTCAAATGCAGATGAGCACGGAGGTAAAACACCACCTCAAATATAAATGCAGCTTATAGCACTTAATGATTTTTCAGTGTTTAAGTATTTCTCAGAATTTAAACTGGTTGAGCATTTTTAAATAGTAAATGAAATCCCTTTATCTGTTTTTAAGATGCAAAGTAGAAGGTAGATAACAGCTATTGCTGCCTAAACAAAAAACGGATGCTGATATTTATACAACTCTATTTATGTTGATTTATGTTGATATATGACATGAACAGCAGGTTGTCGATGAGCAAATATATATGGAACAATCATGATCTGTGACTTGGTGATTTTCATTTGTTGAAGATATATTTTATCTGCCTGCGCCTACCATACAACTATGTGCTGCTAGCTGTCACAGCTGGATAGGAGGGACAATCACATCAAATTACAAGCATTATCAGAACACATACTAGGCATCCAGGACTTGCCAGACCTTTTTTTTTTTTTTTTTTCCAGAGGAAAAATTTCTTGCAGAAGATTGTTAAATTTATGCCTTAATTTCTGGGGATGGATGGGGTGGATATTTTATTTCATAATCTTTGAATCTAGTTTCTTGCCCAAGGCACTAAGGATTTGGAGATTGTGTTGTATCTCTTGTCTGTCACACATTTCAGTCCAATTACATGTGAAGACATCAACCAATTTCAACCAGGCCCAGCCGACCTGAAAAGAGATATGATATACAGGTAGAAGAGAGAGGAGTGCTCACCAAGGGGGAGGCTGACATGAGCTAAATACCAGATAAGCCACAGAAAAAGGAGATCTGATGAAAGCCATGCTTCTGGCATAAGCATCAGTAAGGTTTGTACCTTATTTTGTACCAGAAACATATTCTATCCGAAACGACTTCCATTATGGGAGAAGCAGCAATATCTCCTACTGCCTTTGTTTTGATACCCTTGGATAGAAAACGTATAGTCAAAAAGTATCACAAAACTTAGTTTGCATTTAATTTCAAGAAAGGTTAGCTCTAAACTGACTTGTGGCTTTTTCCTCTTAGGAAATGGGGATTTAAGAAAAAACAAACAAACCCAATGAATTAGTACAAATAAAAGTGCAGTGAACTACCATCCATCCCCTGACACCCTCGTTGTTATCCCTGCCACTGAGAGCAGGTTTGATCACACAACACTTTCTCAGCTGAGCAACCACAGGGAATTGCACGGGCAGATATTCTACAGCAACGTCTATCAATCAGAGCCTGAAATTGTTGCAGTTTCACCTTTTGACCTGTTCAATCAGACAATAAAAAAACCTATTTATTTCATGAATCTTTGCAACACATTTTTTTAAAGCCAGTTCAAAGGGTTTTTTTCCCTCCAAAACAAAGAAGCATTATGAAGTCAACAAAACTGTTTCCACATCAAGGACAGATTCCCTTGGCATATAGTCAGCTGCAAAGAAAGACGCTAACCACTGAAACCTAGCTGCCAAAGAGTTTCATATATTGTTTGTATTTTCACATGCACACATATTACCAGAACTTTGCTGAATGAAAAGCAAGACACTGTACCTGACCATTGAATCTTCAGCAATCTTTATTTACAAATTTTTATTATGTGAAGGATAATAATAATAATAATAATAATAATGGGAAATGTGGGAGGAAGAAAAGAAATAATGAAGATGGATTTAGAACTGCTATACATTGATTCTATTATTACTGGTATCATTATTACAATTTCTGTTGTGGTAAACTCGTCTTAAAAGTGACAAAAAGACAATTTTATGAGGAATTTTACTTAAAAATGAGCTAATAAAGTAAACACAAGTCTAAAGAAGATGCTTTCAAAATATAAGCAGGACAAAGCTATGTAAAACTTTGAATTTCAGGAAAAGATATTTGTACCCTGTACAAAGATGGACAAAATAATTTATGTGTGGCTACTATTTATTTAGAATCTGAGGAGAGAAGTCAAAAGAAGAATCAAAGATTGTGTGTTTGGATGACAAGGGGAATGGTGTTCTTGGCAGCCATAGAAAATGGGAGTGGAAAGGATTTTGGAGGTAAGATAAAAAGGATTGGTTTTAGTTAGACTACGCCTGAGTTGACCTTGAGCCATTCAGGATGCAAAGTCTGGGGAAAAAAGAAAAAAAAAAAAAGAAATGCCAAACTGAAAGAAGCTGCAGAAGGAAAAAGGGAGACACTTTCTGATGCTGACTTGTCAGCTCAGACCTAATAGGTAAATATGTACAAAAGGTGACATACAAATGGTGAACGGGGGGAAAGAAGAGGTGAGTAACAAAAGCCTTGGAAAGAGGGTGAGCATTCACAGCTGACAATTGCATACAACAGGCAGGCATTCCACTGAGGTACAGAGATATGATATGACTGAAGCAAAACATCTAATTTAACAAGTAGTTTAATTTAGGATTTAGACTATCAAGTGGTATGATGAAGATTAACCCAGTTCAGAGCAAATGCAGGTTACTTTCAAAGAACTCATTTGAGAAAATGCAAATTCAATCTTTACTATTCATTTATTATTCAGGGTTAATAGTCACTAATTTCAGAGGGATATTTAGTAGCTTAATTCACACACCTTTAAAACAAATTTTTATGCTATCAGATGAAAGATACTAATGAAAAACTCTTAGTTGTATGTGTAATTATTTTCATAAAACAATAACTGTCATTCATAAAGATAAATAAGAACATGATTAACTTTAAGCATATCTTAAAATTTCATTTCATTGAAGTACCTGCTTAAAGTTTGTTATTCTGGGCTATGCTCAAACAGCCTGAATTCTCCTTACATCTCCATGTCTAGGAAAACTAATCATGCTTTAAAGAATCATTCAAGAGCTTAAACTACATGTTAAGCAAAGTAGTAATTAGAATTAACTAATAGGAAAAAAACAGTCACAGATACTTAGCTAAAATACAGTAGGTATTTATACACTGTCTTGAAACTGGCTTATGTGTTCATCTAAGTGCTTTCCTGAATCTAGACCTATGCTCACCATTAGATAAGAAATGGGTGATGAATAAGCACCATACTGCATCAACCACACTCTCCCCAAGTATTACTTTAATTAGCAAATAGTCCTGTTTGACCTAACTGGGCTGACTCTGATTGTGTTTTTAAAGCAGCAGATGAGAAAAGCATTTAGGGAATGGCTGTTTAGCCAGCACATTGTTTATTGTCCATACTACATGTGCTTTTGGGGGAATATATTTGTGGGTTTTCAATCTTTTTTTTTTTTCTTTTTTTTTTTTAAACTAGAGTTGAATATTTTAACACTATTTATAAAGCCGTACATTTTAGCATGCAAATAAGTCAGGAACATTCCATAGGCATCTGCTGGGACATGGGCCACTGCTCTGCCAACTTTCTGTGGGCAATATTTTTTTACTGCAATGAAGAGAATTTCTTTGAAAAGAACAGGCAAATATATGTGTGTAGTTTACATACTTCTGTGGTTCACATATTTTGTGGCTAAAAATATCCAGAGTCCATATCCCACCTTCAGATTCAGACTTGGAAGCAGATCCAGCTGCAGAGTACAGCTCTTGTGTGCGGCTCATCTTTTCTTGTGTGTGAAAATAATTTATAAAAAAACCCAAACCAGAAACCTTAGACCATGGAATCTGCCTTGGCATGACTATTCCTTTGACAATTTCATTTCAGAAGATGATTGGTCCAACTGTCTCTATATAAGGATAAACATGCAGAGCTTTGGACAGCAGCTGAAAAACTAAAATCTGAAGACTTCCTAAAATCTGGTATTTGGACTGACCAAGCCGAAAGAAAATATATCACTTGGCTTTAAAGACTGCAACATCACAGCAACACTCTCTCCTAGATTTCTGGCAGGTTCATTTGCTTGTTCATTCTGTCACAATGACTTTCTCAATATAAAGCAAAGCAAAGTACTTTTACTACTGAACTCAAGTAGGATGTTTATTATGCTCCTGCAGTACTTTACAAATGAAGATGAGTTACATGGAGGGCAAGACCCCAGTTCTTTTTCTGCCTCTATACAAGATGGGGATAATGGGAACTACTGTTACAAATGAAGAAGGTAAAGACTGTCATTTTCAACTGACAATACTGTATTATTCCTTGCTAGTTTAAGGTCTATAGTTATGGAGAGATGCTCACAATTTAAGATGCAAATGTTTATTCTGACCAGTTCTCTTTAAAAATAGTTAATTGATCTCTAAAACGATACACCAAAGAAAACCAAGGAAACATTATTTATTTGGACATTTGTGCAGTGATGTGAACATAGGGACATTTTTTCCCCTTAGTCATGTGACAGTTAATTATCGTGTAAGCCGAAACACATACAGCTAAGCAGGAATCCAGACCTTTCTTTTTTTTTTCTTTTTTTTTTTTTTTTCCCTTTGTCTAAGGCAACTAGTTATTCTGCTTTCTCTGACATGACCCCTCTTTTAACTCAGTCCAAAATGTAATTCCCTTAGGAAAAAGGGATATGGTCATTTGTCCAGAAGGTCTAAGGTATGTCCTGCTGACAGACACGACAATAGCAGTAGCTCTTGTTGGGTTGCTGTCTGTCCAGAAGTCTTGGACCAGTGGCAAGAGCTGACTCTACAGACACCCTGGGGTCACTGAAAATAGTCGCAGGAGTCAAGCTTTGCCTCTTGCCTGATGCACCCAAAAATGTTTCTGATTGCATGTGTTAGCCACCTGTGTACTGCATGCATAAATATATTCCAGTCCAGGATTTTCCAGATGGAAATATGGGAGCACTTTCTGTACCCCCACTAAAGTAGTTACTGTTAGGAGTGACTTGAGACCATGTTTGCCCTTCTTGGTAGACAGACAGGGAACCAAATCAGCTTTCATTCACATGGCTGCTTATGCTCATCCAAACACATAGCAAAATATTTCATAGCTTCATACTGCAAAAACTTCATGGCTTCCTCACAGAAATTTACTGTCAGCCTACAAATGCATTGGGTCTGAGAAAAAGCAAAAAAAATCCAGCTTTGTTAAAACAGAAATGTAATTTAAATTGTTCTTAATTTAATTTTTGTACTCTTCACTCTCAAGAAGTACTCATTTGACCTGAGTTTCAGTTTCCAGGGTGCAACTCACATCTGTTAATTTCATCATGGGAAATAACTTTCCTTTCCTTTGACAGATAAGTAACTTCAGGAGTTTGCTGTTTAACTGGCCACAATTGCCACCAACAAATTCCAAGCAAACTGGGAAAAAAAAAAAAAAAAAAAAGTTAATATGTTTCTTGTTCTTTTTGAGATATCTTACATCCTATTCCTTTACCATCATGCATCTTTAGCTGGGAAGGATCTGTACATATTTCCCCTGAAAAATAGCCTCTGGTGGCTTAGGAACTGGATCATGATTATGTGTTTCACATCCACAGGCTACAGGGAGGTCCCAAATTCATTCCTGAAATGCAAAAAATTATGTAAACACCAAAATGCTGAAAGTACAGTAATGTTGTTTCCAGCCTTAACCAGAAGTAACTGAGTTAAGATGGAAGAGTAGTTCTTGTGAGAATATGATTAGAGAAAGGCTCTGCTGTTTCAATAAAGGCATGAGGTATTCTAAGCTATATGCCTGCCATTGAACAATGCAGACCATATAAACACTCATTCAGTGCTGAGGTTGAAAAACCCACAACGCCACAGAAGCGTAGGAAGACAAATCACCTCGTCCAGAACCACTCCTCAGAGGAGGATCCAGTATGCCTAGGTCTCACCTAGCAGATGTTTGAGTGCTGTGTTCTGTAAGGCCTCCACTAATGGAGGTCTCTAAAACTTCCCAGATAATCTGTCCCAGTCCCTGATTGCCCTTCCTGTAGGTATTATTGATACCTTCTGATCTCCATTAGTAAGACTAGGTCAGATTTTTTCATGGCAATCTGGGGAGTGTCAGGGCATAGAGACTCTCTTACGTGAATTTACAAGGAGAATAGCCTTTCTTTAGGAACATCCACGTGCTTCAGCAGCACCTTCAGTGTGAAGGATGTCTCTTTCTGATTCCCCGCTAGATTTTCACACTTGTCTGCCCAAAAAAGTAAGTCAGCTTGTCATGGAAACAGGAAATAAAGGGGAGAAAGCACAAGGATATATTTGTGATCACAGATTTGATTCTGGTTTGCATTTGTTAGCAAGAGGATTCTTTTCACCAGTAACTGTGTGTAATGGACCATGGAAAACTTGAAGGAAGCCTCTTAGGTAGATTCTGAGACCCCTTGACTGTGAACTCCAATGCTGACCTCATTCTGGACATCAGATTCCTTATATGTATGCCACCCATTGTCTTCCCAAAGACTTATTTTATCTTAAAGAGATTGGGTCTTTCAAAAAAGGGTAATCGGTTATTTTCATGGAAACACCTTTGGGAATAGTTAGGCCTAGAGCTGGGTAGCCAAAGACCTGGTCACTATCATGGGTTCATGACAGGAGTTTTGGAAATGCATCAGAAATGAATTTTTTTCTTTTGAAGCTGTATGCAAGCTCAAAGAAAATATTCAAAGAAAAATGAGAAATTTTTCCTTTGTGTCCTAGTACAACAGTTACAGACTTTGGACATTGTCATTTGCAGAAATCAGCAGTGTTGCAGTCATAGTAACCCTGAGACCTAATGCTTGCCTTCTATATGATAGAGCATTAGGCCAGGAACAGTCTTATGTCTTCTACTTCTCCATTTTTAGTATGTTCTTATTAATACTTATCTACCTGCACAAGAGATACTGATCTGTGAGACTATTACACTGAAAATATTAATATTATTGAAGAATAGGTACTCCAACATATTTTTTATTAGTTCTAAACAAGTCTTTTTATTTCTTCTTTAAATCCTCACTGTGAATTACTTCATAAAATTTCCTGGGCAAAGCCACAGAAAAATTTTCACAACTGTGGCCACTTAATTTCTCAATCCAAATCTGCCTTGAGGATCACTTGATGCCTTTCAAAAATTATAAAGGAGTCCGATAGTCAGTCAAACACAATTAAGCAGATCTAAAACAGAACTAATACACAGGATTTACACCAAAATAACAGGGGATGGGAAAGGGACTTTCTCAGACATTGAGGACCAGACTTATCTTTAGCATGAAATATATTTGTTTCCTACACACACTGGCAGTGGAGGCAAATGACATACAGTTACTGCAGTTTCAGACCTCAGCTCTGCAGCTATGGCTCAGCACCAGTCTATTGTACTGTTTAAATCAGGTGCCTTTAGACAGAGGTTGATGCATGTCTGGCCATAACAAATCCTCATCAGAGTGTGCAAAACCAGCAGAGACATACCCAGTATCATAAATGTAGTGAGCCCTGTTTTCAGTGTTGATTTGTCTTGGTCCATTCTGTTTCAGTTTCAACTCTCCTTCTCCAACATACTGAGGCCATTTATTTTGCTGATTCTAAGGCCTACTGTCAACAGCAGTTCTGTAAAATAAGGAAGTCTTCAAGCAGCATTTTTCTAAGGGTTGATTGATGGCATTTTCCATATGTGTTTGGCATGCTGGAGGCCTGAGCATGCTGCTCCTCCAAGCACCTCGATGTGCACCAAGACTAGCAGACCAGCATCTGAACTTAAACCGTGAAATGCTGTTGAGTGAAGGATTGCCTTGGAGCAAATCTCAGATAGTGTAATTCGTGCATACCTATAAACTTCGCTGCCAGAGAAGGCCATTAGTTCAGTCACATTGTGGCAGCATTTATACTGTGATAGGGTAATTTCAGAGCAAGAGATAATAGCTCCAAAAGACTAGGATCAATCTCATTCAAGCTGTGACACTTTCATTTTATCCACCATTTCAGAACAGAAAAAGTGCTCCAAAACCTTGGCAAACCTTCCAAAACTCTGCCTCTCTTCTTCATTGCTTGTAAGAATCAGAATCAGTGTGGCTAATATATAAATCCAATAAGCTCTGTATGTAAATAGGTTCAGTCACACAAAGGACATTAAATAGAAAATATCTAACAAAAGACCTTCTCAGTTTACAACTTGCCAGGCTTTACAGTTACGACAGTGAAGTTTCTTGGTTTCTCTTGGATGGTCCGGTAGATTATTACCCAATGAGAACTGCACCCCATTCAGGAATGCTTGCCTGGAAATCTCGGACAATAAAATGTCATATTTCTTGCCTGAACTATAACAGAAATGAACACTTCAGCAGAGGGTCAAGGGAATGACATGCCATTACTGCAAAAATCTTCTCCTATGGCTACTCTTTATTCTCCCAGTGGGATTCTTCCCAGGATAATGATGGAAAGCTGTTTGCACATGAACTGCTTCCCTTTTAGATCTAGCAGGCTGACAGGAATCATTCCTGCTCTAAAGACCCTGAAGTCAAGTGAGCTGAACTCTTTTGGAGTAGGGCTCCAGTGCTCACAGCTTTCCTATTGAAAAACAGTTCTTTATAGGGTGAAGAATAGAATTTTCATAAAATCTGTTAATCTCAGATACAGCAAAAGTGAAACAGAAAACACAGACATGGGAAAGAAAATGCAGGCACAAGGTGTTCTGTTTTTAAAGGACTGTGAATGAGCAGCTTAATAATATTAGTACAATAATGGGCAGGAAATGGATGCTTATCTATGCAGATCAGAAATGGATGTACCGCTTCCAAAAAGCAGTATGCAGACAGCCTAGTGGCAGTCACGTGTGTTAGATGTAACACCTGTAATGTAAGTTTGGCCTATGTAAGTTTGAAATGCAGACTTGGAAAAAACAATCATTTGTTCTAACGAATTTGTTGACAAACAAAATAAGGGAGACACTGTTTGTCACACAGGCACTCCTCAGTGGCTTCCGCCATCCAGACGCATGCAGGCAGAAACGTTGGGATTTACAGAGGAAGACATTATGTAGCCCTGTTTTTCTTGTAGACAGCCTTAGCTACTCAGCTCTGGAGAGGGAGGGTGGCAGGAGAAAGGGTTCCTAACACTCTTGCTGTGCACCAAACGCTCATCAGAGAGATCTGCATGAAAAAGAAAATGTCACCCCATCACTGTGCAGCTGTGCAGGCACTGTGGTTCAAGGCAGCCTCCCCCCTACTCCAGATGTCTTGTACTC